GAGGTGCTTGACATACATATCAAATCAAAAGATTGATTTGAAAAATAAAATTATTCACTGAAAAAAGATTTTTAGTCCATTAATATTTTGAATGAAACTTCAAATCAAAACATCAAGAACGAATTGTTTTTTGAAATTATTACTGCAAATTTTCTCTTTACTTCGAAACAAATTTTACAACTCTCCGCCCTCTGTTGGAGACTTACTGCATCTCAGTATTACTATAGAATATAAGACCTCAAACTTCATTATGTTGTTTGAGAGGAATTTTACATTCATGCGCCGTCTGTTGAAGGTTTACAATACTAGTGACTAGTGAAAAAGTTAAAAATATTTTTTTAAATAATTTTTCTCAAAAATCAATTAGAAAATATCCTCCAAAAGAAATTCATCACCAATTACTTTTTGTACTCATAGAAAAAACATGTTTCACAAAGTAATAAAAGGTTTTCATTCAGTGTTTGCGTGTAGTAATTACTCATATAATTTGTTCCAGTAACCACCAAGAAAACTCGGGGTTGTTTTTTTACACTCGTTTGTTGCTTGAGATCCGGGATTCCGGCAGTAGCCACCTCAGACCTATGTTTTACAGTGCAGTCCAAGACGATCTTCTCGTTGTATCCAATTATTTCAATTCATTCCTGTTTTGTGCATTTACTTGTTTCAATGCTATTAGTGGTTTTCACCACACGTTTATATTTTTGTGCTTGTATGATTTTTATGCATGTACGCTTTTAGGATACCAAGTGTAGGATACCAAGCTACTACACGACGTTTCGATTGTGGATATCCACAATCCCCCCCCTCTTCTCTCCTCTCCTCTCCTCTCCTCTCCTCTCCTCTCCTCTCCTCTCCTCTCCAACTGTTTGACTATTCCAACACTCATTTATCTCAATGAAAAACTCGATCCAAACATTCATCCACGAATGCGAGTTGTGTCAACAAATATGACAAAATGACAAATATGACAAAAAGCTTACTGAAACATCCAAATTTGTTACAATTGATAATTTTCCTGTACTACACGTACACGGACGTTCATAAAAGTCAAAACGGGCATCTGCAGTCAACTTGCTGCTGATCTCCGTCGAGATGTCATCGCGGCATCCGCCGTACACTAACCACAAACTTGCAGTCGTACCCAACCGTGTACACCGTCGTGTACTTTTTCTCATATTGGTCTGATAGCATTCAATTTTTGATTTCAAATTATAATAAAAGAACTAATGGACATTCTGAAGTAATTAAAAATTTTTTTTCGATTTTTTCGCGGAGTTTACCGGTTGTTGCTTGTATGTTATTTCATGGTAATATCACTTTTTTGCTTAATAAAATTGCTTTTTAACCTAATCTTTTCAATTTCTTTACAGATTATGTCAGGGATTTCAAATCAATTTATATCATATTAGACAACGTAAGTCCGAACTTATGAAATGCACCACGAAACATTGTCAACCACCTTCAAACAAAATATAAAAATTTCCTTCCTGTTGTCGTGGATGTACCCAAAACGATCGTACCTTCCTACGTCTCCTCCTTCTCCTCAAAATAAGAAGTAGTAGTGCTTCTTCTTCGGAATCCATATTGAAACTGGCATTAAACTCTGACACCACAAAATATAGATGTCAGTTGCTTCAACTGCAAGTGCGGTTTATATGACAGCAAGTCGACCACAAAAATGTGGTTGGGTCAACCGCGAAGTGCAGTCAACGTGGCCACAATGTTGTGGTTGCCTCAACTGCAGATATGTGGTCCATGTACGGCCGAACTTAGGTACTGAAGTTGTGAATAACAATAAATTTCACTTCTCACCACCGCGAATCTGAATAAATAACTTGAGATGATGGAACAGAATTTGAGAATTCAATAGTAAGTGACGTTGGTAACTGACGTTAGCAATGGTCATACAACCAGTAATGAACCTTCTGATATAAAATATTACTGAGTTACTTCAAAGAACAAGAAAAATTAGTTCATTGAAAAATAAATTCCGACCTTATTTCAAAGAAACAGAAAACAATTACAAAGCTAAATAAAAACAGAGATCCTCCAAAAATCTCCAAAAGTAAAGAGAATATACTTATTAGTTAAAATTCACATATGGAAACAAACGCTTATAAATTCCCAGCAAAGCCAAGGCAGTTGATACCTCATGCACATCAAGCAGAGATTCACATGGACAATCTCAAACGCCCATAGAAGAGTTTACTCTTTCGATATCCGAAACATGTATTTCTTTATCATTTCAGATTACCGAAAATCTCGCGACCCAAGAGACAACAATACTTCGAAACCTTGAGAATAATACTGGCTTGATCCCGTAAAACTTGTCCCAGCAAAAGTTAGCGAATTTCATCATTCAATTATTCATCATTTTGATTTTTGAATCCGATAATAAGTGAAATCAACAAATTGAAGACAGAAGTATATACCAATTTGAAAATTTAATTTCAACTACTTGAAAGTTTTTAAATTTGTGGTAGAAAATGCTAAAAAGAAGCTTATTCAAATAGAAATGATGTTCAATACTCGTAAATGTCTTAGGATCAATTTCTGAAGCTATTAACAGTAATTTAGATTCTAATAACGGTGGACGCTGTGAAAATCTGAATCTAATGAAACAGATTTGCTTTGGCAAATTCAAAATCAGTTGACGAATACTCGTTATTCATACACACAAAATACTCTTGCCGTTTGCTTGATTGATAAATTCAATAAAACGGTTCAGCAAATAAATCATAATGAAGACCTATTGGAAGCAAAAGTAAATCAAATTTTGACAATAGTTCAAAATCATATATCACCCTATCTTCACAGAGGGAAGTTAAAAGCAATAATATGGCGAAATGAATATTAATTGATAAATTAATTGTATTACGCATTCATTAACGATGCTTGCATGAAAATTCGTCCACAATTGTATATCTGCGAACAAGCTGACCTCTTCAAATCAAAACCCACAAACTTTTGAAAAATTCAACTATAATCTATATCTATATCCATATTTCTATACAAATATATATTATAAATGTGAAAGTTTGTGAGGATGGTTAAATGTATGTGTGTATGTATATTTGTGGCTTTTTCACGCCTAAACGACTGAACGGAATTAGATGAAACTTTACATAAATACAGCTTATACATCAGAATAACGTGTAGGCTACAATTTACAAAAATTTTGTGTAATTTTGGTCACAATATACCGATAAGTATTAAGTAAGTCGGAAAAATTCTTGCTCCCCGAGACTTATCTTGGCGTGCACTGCCTATATCGTTGCAGTTACATGAAGATAATGTACCGTAAGATTGTTTATCCTGAATTGTTCTGAATAAAAGTCGCGATAGCTCGCGATACCTCTTATTTGGTCTCGTTTATATGCAAAATACTGAGCCATAAATACAATTGAACTGGATTTTTTTTTCAATCCACATTTGAGAGTATCTGTCAAATTCTCAGAAAAATAAGTAATGCAATGTGGAATGTTTCTTCTGACGAAAATCAAGTAGTTTTCATAAAAGAGCTCTGAAACAACGCATTNTGACCTACCACTTTCATTGTTTATTCTACTTTTATTTTGTATAAATTCTACTTCTTTATTATTTTTCAGCTCCTCCATTTGTTTTTTACTAATTTCCGCACCTGCAGGTCTCCTCAGCTTTTTCCAGTGTTAAATGTGAATGTTGCAGTAACCTTTCTTGTACAGACAGCTCCTGTATTCCGCCCACTATTTTATCTCTAATTACCGATTTCTCCAAGTCACCAAAATTACATGCAGAAGCTAGTACTTTTACGCCCGTGATGTAATTGTTAAAATTTTCCCCTTCCTCTTGCCCACGGGTGAAAAACTTTTATCGATCAAACGTTTCAAATTAAAGTGGCTTACAGTAATCTTTGAAAAAGTTTGAAATTTAATTTGATGCTCTTCATCTGCTAGGTTTGGAAAATTTCTATCTTAGTTTTTTCGTCTTTGTCAATCAGACCTGTTGTCCTCAGGTATATATCAAGACTTCTTAAGAAGACATCAAAGTTTTTGTGCATATTCTTGTCGAATACTAAACTTTTTGGAGGTTTGAAACTTCCACTGTAATTATCCATTTTATAACAGTACTCACGCTTCGGTCAAGATATTATAATGATTTTATCCAAAATCCCATTAACCTGACACCATGTCATGTTCTTTTTTTATTACTATTATAACTCCAATCAAACTGCATTTGAATTTATTACTTATTTTATTGAGGCTCATTCTACACACATCGCTGTTGGATAGTTACTCTCACCTGTCGGCTCCTCATGGAACACCTAATATATTTCTACATGTAACATGTCCTGTACGCCTCAGTCTCACATATCAAAAATTTGGATTTGCTTTTTTAGTAAAATCGGTTGAATTAAAATGAGATTATTTTCACTCTATATATTTTCAATGCAATGGGTTACATTTCGGCCTTTTGTTATCGGCAGGTTGAATTACTTATACATTTTTATACTATTTCAATCGAAACTATCATTATAAATGAAAAATATTTTATTTGATACATATTTTTGTGCAAAACAAACTCAATAACTACTCAAAATAATAAAAAATTCTTCCACTTTCAGTTATCTACATTACCTGCGAGTAAGATACGCATTATTTTACTGAAAAAAATAGAGAAGAAATTGTATTAACCCAAATTATCGAAAATTTGCATATAAAAGCCATTATTTGGCATGTGCACGATTCTCATTTCTAGATAATTGATATTTTTATATCGATTCCAATCATTTAATATCATTCAAAACAATAATATTCTCAGAAAACGATTTCAAACCAAATAAAGACATTTTGAAAATTTATAATTGAGAACTACAGCATTTATGTATAATTCATCCCAATTTTTCAGATTGTGGTAGGTTATAAACCCAAAAACAGTATGAAATGTATTATGATGTGATGTAAATCGATTTTTCAAAAATATTTCACCACATATTTCAACGTAATTTCTTTTTCAGCAGAAAAAGGAGCACTTATATATTTCTACGGACCAATAATAGTACTACTCACTATGAATGTGGTCTTATTTTTATGGACTACTCTGGTACTGTGGAAACATTCGCAAAACTCCTCCAAAACTAAGATACTCAAATATAGGTAGATGAATTATCAATTATTACTGTGATATTATTATTTCAATAGGACTCATGTGGCAAATTTTCAGGTTAAAAATGTATGCAAAGCTGTTTTTCATTATGGGAATTACTTGGATATTTGAAGTTATGTCTGCTGTCCTCGTAAATGATAAATATAAATGGATCTGGTTAGTATTATAATTTCATTATAATTTTCCATGAATTGAATTGAATGGCAAAATTCGATAAATTCTCACTAATTGGTGAACAACTGACTTACACCTCGACACGTGTTTCGATCACCAAATGATAATCTTTAAGAGGAAAATTGATCTAACTATATATATACAATGTTATCCTTATTTATACCATAGATATCTCTGAAGGGTACCTGAGTCTTAAGTGTCCATCTTGAATCGATTTCATAATGTTGCCTCATTTTCTGGTCTTAAATTGATTTTACTATGTGTCCTTATGTAATAGTCAGGTAAATCTGATAATTGAAATATTATTTCAACAAGCTATATAGTATAGCTATTGGTCCACTATCGTTATTCATAATATTATTATGTTTACCTATTCCTACACTCTCGTAGGCATCTAGATGCCTGCTGTTGTTAACTTGTCTGAATCATCTCAATAAACTAAAGTCTATGGAATTGTTTTGTTGCAAAATATGATGGGCGACTGCTGATTTTTCTGGTCTTCCAAGTGTTAGTTATATCTTATATCAATAGATCTTTCAGTCTGTCCATAATATTTTGCATCGCAGTCCTCACATTTGATTTCGTGATTTCCAGACTTTTCCGCTTCATTCGTTCATTCTTAATCAAACTTTTTTTCCTTATAATATCATCTTGAGAGATGTCGTAGGTGATATTATGAAGAAGGAAAAGTTTAGGTAAAGAATGAACGAAATTTCGAATTTTAGAAACGATCAAAACCATGATAAATATATCTCAGTTCCATATCACCAATACACGAAGAACTTTGGAAATATTTCCAAGTACTTACGTATTTCAAACAAGTTATATACTACAGACTTTTGGGAAATCCAAAGGTCAAAGTCGAGAATTTCTAAAAGTCTGGAATTTACGAAATTAAATGTGATGATTGCGATGCAAAGTATTATGGACATACTAAAAGATATTAGCAGCAGTCGCCCATCTGCCCATCATATTCTGCAACAAAACCATTCCATAGACTTTAGTTCATTGAGATTAGTTCAACAAGCTACCAACAACAGGCATCTAGATGCCTTCGAGAGTGTAGAAATAAGTAAACATAATATTATGAATAACGATAGTGGACCAATACCTGATAGTATACTAAATAGCTTGTTGAAATGATATTTTAATTATCAGATTCACCTGACTATCACAGGAGGCCATATTGTAAAATTATTTTGAAAGGTACTAGTAGATGGAGCAACATTGTAAAACTAATATAAGACATGCACGACGCTGGTACCTAGCAGATGTATCTATGGTATGAATAAGGATAATATTGTATGTATATCTAGTTTAATCTTTATCTTGAAGATGATCACTTGGTGATCGAAACACGTGTCGAAGTGGTGAAATCAAATTTGTTATGTTTTCAATGTTATCAGCAAATAACGTCTCTGAAGTTCGACGAATTATTCTGCCTGGGTTGATTTAAACATTCTACGATTTTTATTTCGAGACTCCCAAAACTGTGGATACCGAAGGGGGATTTTCAGCTAAAAATTAAAAAAAAAACCTTCGTATCTATTTTATATACATAACAAGTGTGTCCTTGACCATGAAGTCTGAATGAGCTGTTTTTCGGGCAAGAAATATTTTGGAGAATGTATCATGTAAAGTATATTGATAGTTGCTCCTGAATTTTAAGTATATAACTACGGTACAAAACTAACGTGTGTGCTTTGTTGAATCCAAACAAATATTCGTTTGATTGTACCTGGACATACTTTCGTTGATATAAAAAATATGAAACCTAACCTAACATAACCTGGGCACCTGTTGTGCTGTCAGTACCACACTTTCGTCAGCGGTCATAGAAATCCTTCTAGACATATCATCTCTCCACATCTTTCTGGAAAGAGATGCTAGATGGACAATCATTGAAATTGTGTTCATTTCCAATTGCATGAAACTGATTTATGCGGAGCGTAATACCCCACAGACTAACATCCTCCCTTATATAGACCTTATACCAAGAAGAGACGATTGGATTTTCTGGACGGAGGAGATACTACGAGCAGTCAGCATTTGGTTTACAACTGAACCAAAAATACTATTGGGTTCTTTTAACTACGACCTGCCTTATGTAGACCTAATGCCAAGAAGAGATGATTGGATTTTCCGGGAGAAGAAAATGCTACGATCAGACAGCTATTGGTTCACAACCGAATCAAAAACACTATTCCATTCTGACGCATTCTTTATACAGTCGCAGACCAAAAGAACATATAGCAATCTGCTATGCAACTGTGTTCCAAGCAGAAATATATAGATATAGATCAATAAAAATATTCTCGGGCAGCCAAGTGGCTTTAGAAGTACTTGGCTGTCACCTAGCAACGTTCAAGTTGGCAGTAAACTGCCAAAGGAGACTTTACTTGATAGAAATACTGAAGTTGTCTTGATCTGGTTTCCTGGCCACATTGGCCTGCCGACATCCTTGCAAGAAAGAGCGTTGCAAGCGGTTACACCGGACTAGAAATTGCTATTTGTATCAATTAATTTTCTGCTTTTTCTTTCGGGCTAGTAGGCCGTGGTTGAATTGAACTTAAGGTACCAAACGTTTGATCGGCTGCGACTGACATCATCGATGGTATGTGTATTTACTGTGACGACGAAAGTTATACCTCGAAGTCTCATCAACGAACAATTCACCACTGGTGCCGTATTTCTTCACAGTATAGCAAATTGACATTTATAGTGAAAAATAGAGTAGTTTCTGCCATTTTCCTACTTGCAATTGCTACAACACACTTTCATGCCGCCTTGAAAGATATTCTTGAATACAGTGACTGTTTCAAAGTTGTTCCCAAAAACTATTCATTCCTAAAATTATTCGAATTGAAGGGGTTATATTTTTAGGAGGGATTAATTTTTGGGAAAGTATTCCCCTAAAATTATTTCTTTTTCGAAAAATAAAATTATAATTATTCTTTAATCCAGTTTAAGGGATGTTGTATTTTATATTTTCAGGTACTTCACAGATGCGCTCAATGCCTTGGTTGGTCTGATAATTTTCCTGGTATTGGTTATCTTCAGGAAAAAAGTGATACGATCGTTAGCTAACAGAAAAATATTTATGTTCCTGAGATTGCCTGCTAATTGGAGGGAAGCGCAGGATAGTGAGTGTGAGGAACTAGAAGAAGAAATTAGCTTAGGAGAAAATGACACATGAATGTTATCATTTGGACGAAATATGCTTACAAACTTTTTGTAAATTATGAGTTATGAAACAAAGTATCAATATATTTTGTTGAAATAATGGAGCACGCAGAGCAAAATTTTATTTCTATTGAATGGCAGAGTAATAAACTCCACTTAAAATAAGGCACTGGGTATAATACAGACACAATAAGTTTACAAGTAGTGCTATTTTCTCATTAATATAAAAATGTGTTGGACTGATTTATCAAAAGGAAGTATTCATTTGATTTTTTTTCATCGTCCATTAAATTTATGAAGCTCCCTGAGATTTTTGACAGTTATATACAGGGTTCAACATAAGTACGTTAAAATATTCAAGTGACGTATTCCTGAAACAATTAAAAAAGTCTTTATAAAATTGTGTCGGGAAATGCTTCGTTTTGGAGATACAGCGTATTCAAATAAATTTTTTCCGTTTTTTCATGAATAACTTTTGCAAAAAATATGGTATTTGGTACCCGGAGTCTTCATAACTTCGTATTGATTTATATGTAACATATAGAGGGCGCTGCGTGCGCTGTTATTATTCATTTCCAAATCGCCCTAACTATTTTCACAGTAAAATTTTGGTACTTTTTATGAAAAAACCTAATTTCCACACCTTCTCCAAGTAAAAAAGGTACCTTTCTAGATGTTGAATGAAAATTAATACGAAATTATGATTTCTCACGTCAATAAACTCCGGATGGCAAATTTCATGCGAATAACTTATTTTTTGCACAAGATATTTTGAAAAAACGAACAAAACAATTCAATTTCAACACCCTATATCTCCGAAACGAAGCATTTCCGGACACAAGTTTATGACAACTTTTTTCTTTAAATTGTCTCAGGAATACGTCATTTGAATACTTTAACGTACTTGTGTTACACCCTGTATACTTATTCAAGTTTTTCGAAATTCTCGAAAGGTATTTTAACCATTTTTCTATAATAGCATACTTTCAGAATTTGCGATGGTCTGGCACTTCAGAGTGCTGAACTTGGTTTTATACAACAATAACTTGATAACGGTTTTGTATCTTTACTCGAAACGTCGAACCGAATGAATAAGCTTGAAAACTATATGAGGAGGAAAATAGTGAAATAGAAACGATTGTGGAGGGTTAGAGTTATGAGCACTACTGCTTATTTAGTAGGTACCGTAGAATGGGGTGAAATAGTCAATTTTGAACTTTAAATCCCTATAACTAACATACTGTCATTTGAAAAATACAGATATTTCCAATGGTATAAATTGAAACCGCATGATCAGCTTCTGATAACCAGGCATGTGGTAGCAGATATATTTTTTCATTCACTCATCCTATTCACCCATCTGTTGCAGTCAAAAAATCACCCAAAGTGTCACTGAAAGTCTCATTGAACTAATGTGTGAATGAATTGAGTTAATTTCAAGATTTTGATAAACTAAATACAAAATTATTTAATAAAGGAACAATATGAGCTCGATAACAGTTTATTAATATAAAAGGATGTAGACTATCGAAAATACCAAATAGTGAAACGAAATTTCCAAAATATTAATGTAATTATGATCTTTCCGGAAAACAAAACGGACATTTAAATAAGAAAGCAGGCTGCGGACTATTTGGTAACAAAATAAATAATTTCAATTAATAAAAATATTTGTCGTGCTGTTTTACATGGTTTATAAACCTTTTATACTGGATAAGTGACGAACATGCTCGTCGTATTCATTTCTAGTACAATATCAATGTCGCCCAATGAAATTTTGAATACACTAGACAATTTGGGTATTAATAAATTGCTTTCTATCTGTCTTTGGAAAATTTCTATTTTTGTTGATGGAATATTTACTTACTGAACCTAATTATTTCAAATTTGAAGAGTAATGCAAAATCTTAAGTGAATATCCAAGGTGCCAAACATTGGCAAGATTCGAAAAATATTTCAACCATAAATTATTCGGATCAAAGATATAAAGTTTGTTTGAATAGAAACAATTTCATGCATGGACAAGCTCACAATGAAAATGCATAACCATTTTATGATAGATACTTGAATTTTTTCAATTTGCTATGCAACGGACTCTGCTGTAACTTCAAAAGGCGAGCTTTATAAAAATCCAGTACTGAAGATATTTCTATATGGATTGGAAGAATCTTCAAGCTTTGAGATGCATAAAACTGGAAACACACAGCGAAGCTCAACAATTTTTAATTCAGCAAGAGAATATTCACTCCTTCCAACATTTTTTTAAATAAAACATTGCAAAATCCTTTCCAGTTCAGGAACAAACACAACAGAGATCGGTGAATATTCCTAATAATACAAATATGTAGGTACAACCAGAACCATTCTTTGAAATAATTCCAAAACTTTTCAAAGACAAAATAGCTTCCCATCATAGTCGATCAATATTGAAATGAGGGCTCAACCTACACACGCACAAATCTTCAAACAACCAACCAATAATGTTTTCAAACCACAGTAGAAAACACAACTCTTTTGCACAACCATCCACGTCTTTCACGTCAACAACCCCAAAAAAACTGGATAGGTGAAAAATCTTTCAATACAAAAATCAATGAAATCAATTAACCTTTTGGAAACGATCAATATTTTGATACTGACCAAAATATGGCTACCGATAACCATGTGGGACCTTATTGTGAGAATTATGTTTCTGAAAAAAGAATCACAGAGAAATGACAATGTGATGTTTAAGTGTCACGAAAAAAAGGCCCCAAATATTTTCTTTTGAATCATGTTGAATAACAACATTTAGTGAGCTGAATTTAGTGACAGTTGCATCAACAACAGAACAATTAATTAAAACCAAAACATCTATTTTTAAGGGCGAAATTATCATACCCCACAATGAAATTCATAATTGTGAAATACCAAAATGCCCCAGTATAGCAAAAACGGTTTAGCTCAAACAACCATTTTGAATAAGACGGTTTTCCGTGTCTTTATTTACTTAAATGATTCTGATTTATCTATTAATCAAAAATTGGACCTTTCCAAAATAAAAACCAAACATAAGAATGAGGAGGAAACAGAAAGATCTCCAAATTGTGGAAGGTTCTCTGATATATTTTATGAAAAAGGAACACCTCTAACATTCACCAAGAAAATTTAACACCGCGTACGAACAACAGACGGAATACCCATTGATTCAGAGTCTCATCGCTTCCCATTTATACATAAAAGATAAGTCGAGAATCAAATAAAATAATTGCTCGACTTAAAAATTATATGACCAAGTAATTCTCATTATCGTCATTCATATAGGTTGTCCCTAAAAAGGTTTACGCCTCGGGACAACAAAAATGGGGGGTTGTTATCGATTATCAAAAAGTCAGCAAGAAAACGATTGACGATATTCATGATCATTTGGACAAGCTTGGAAAATGTTAATAGTTCACGACATTAGACCTTGGCAGTGGTTTCCACCAAATAGAATAAGACATCTTAAAAACGACGTTCAATACAGAAAACGATCAGTATGAATTATTGAAGATGGTATTCGAGTTGAAAAATGGGCCAGCCTGTTTTCAGCTTGTTGTAGAATACAGAAAAAGAATGCCTCGAATACCGTGATGAGATAATCTTATTTTCCACCTCTCTTCAAGAACACTTGGAACGACTCAGATGCATATATCAGAGGATCAGAGGAACTGATTTCAAAATTCAACTTGATGAATCTGAAATCAGGGGACGCAATACCCATTTATTCAGAGTCTCATCGCTACCCATTTATACATAAAAGATAACTCGAGAATCAGATAAAATAATTGCTCCACTAAAAAGGTTGACGCCTCGGGACAACAAAAATGGGGATTGTTATCGATTATCAAAAACTCAGCAAGAAAACGTTTGCGATATTCATGATCATTTGGACAAGCTTGGAAAATGTGATTAGTTCACGACATTATACCTTGACAGTGGCTTCCACCAAATAGACTGAGACATCTCAAAAACGACGTTCAATACAGAAAACGATTAGTATGAATTATTGAAGATGGCATTCGGGTGTTGTAGAATACAGAAAAAAAAATGCCTCAAATACCGTGATGACATAATCTTATTTTCTACCTCTCTTCAAGAACACTTGGAACGACTCAGATGCATTTATCAAAGGCTCAGAGGAACTGATTTCAAAATTCAACTTGATGAATCTGGATTATTACGAAAGGAAGTTGCATACTTAGGCCAAGTAATAACTCTTGACCCAACCTAGATGAAATCAGGGCTATTAAAATTTTTCCTTTCACAAAATCTACCAAACAAATTTAAGTTTTCCTTAGTTTTCGTTTCGAAACATGAAATAATCTTTTAACAAATGGACCCATTTTATAGTATCCAGATTTTTTTAAACCACTTGATTTGGTGATCCCTCTAACATAGCCCTAGGTGCTGTATCATACAAAGCCATATAGGTAAAGACTAACCTGTGGCATATGCGTCTGAAACCTTCAATGATCCGGAACAAAACTACTCCGTAATAGAGAAAGAATTAAAGGCTGTACTGTGGGTCACAAAATAATCTAGGCCGTACCGATACGGGCAAAAATTTAATATTGTAACCGAGATGGAGAATTCAAATGAAAGGGTTTAATTAATCTACAATATATAAAAAAGGCAACTCGAACACCAACGCAGATGGCTTGTCACGTATTGAAGTACATACTAAAGTAACACGACTTCTTGAAAAGATCAAGATAGCATACATACTTGATGATCCGAATAAAGAAACAGTTCCAGAAAATACTCATAACCAAGAATCTGAAAGGGCTGATGACCATACTGTTCATCAAACGTAGACGAAAATCCAATCAATAATACCCAACAGTAAACTATACTGTTTAGTAGCCGAAACCAAATCATGATTTAGTGAGTTTTGCATTTGCCAGCTAAACAAAACATTACCCGACAAAAAGAGAAAAATCAATGTTCAACTTTCTGAAAATAACTCCAAACAGGATACCATCAAATTTATTAAGGAATCTAGTGGACCTGGTATTCAGTATCATCTATTTTTCGGAAATCTAAACTCATATGAAACTTTTTCAATAATTTTGCAAAAATACTGCAG